AACTGACATCTTTTTATGTGGATGAGCAACAGTTTGACCCCAACGTCTCACCCACTCTCCAAATCTAGAAACAGAGGAAGCTCCTTTCAGCTGCTGGCATCCAGCATTTTATTATTGTGTATTATCCAAAGATGAGATTTGGAACCTAAAAATACCAGTAAACTGGGAGGTTTACATTTTAAGTAAAACTGCTACCTCCACAACCTGACCTTGAATAAGTGGAAGACAATAGACGATAGTTTGGTTGCAGTGTACGTTGTTTTTGTGTGTGTGTGTGTGTAGAGGCTATAATTAAAGATATTTCTCTTTCTTACAATTAAGCACTTTATTTTACTCTGTTGCAGGTCATGTATGCAGCAGTCACAGGGGAATCCATCTTGCCAAGATCTACATGATGTGTGTGGGAGAGGCAAATTGGCACAGTTTGCAGTTATCCCTCTGAGTAGTGAGACCTTTCTTCACTGTAGTAGGTAGAGAAGTTAAACCATATATATATATAAGTAAAGACATTTTGCTTTCATGTGATCAGAGCTCCTTCCTACTCGTTTTTCATTTCCTTTAAAAGATTTGAACCAAACTGAACTCCTTAAAGATATTTTCTCCACACTCATGTTGTGTGTAACTTGTTTTGAGAAAGAAAACCACCCAGTCAGTGCCAATAAGCAATCCATTCCTTTCTTTCTTTTGTTTCTTTTATTTATTTATTTTTTTAGAAAATACCGTGATATTTCATTAAAAATGTTGCAGAAAAAGTTTATACAGGGGTCCAGCCAGAAATAGGTCTATTATCACTTAAGGCAAAACTGCAAAGAAATAAGACAAACCGAGGATTTTAAAACTACAATAAAAACCCTTGTTAGCTTGAGTGGATTGGGGACCAAATGACAAGAATATACCTTTTTATACAATTTATAAATGCAGCGTAAAATTTTGTGGATGTAATTTTTTTCTCCTGATATAGGATGCAAAATGGAAAGGGCATTAATGGGGACTTATTTTGTTTTCATAGTAATTAATATTAATATTTACACTCATTCACTTGCTTGTGTAAACCAAAATATCACAAGTCTGGCACAATATTTTACATATTGCTAGCATATGACAATTGGAAATATCTAACATAGATGTCTTTACAAACATACCCAACTAATATTATTACAAAAAATCACTGCCTTTTTTAATTCCTAAAGAATACATTGCTGGTCACATTGTAAGCTCAGGCAGAGCTGAGATTGCAAGACAAAAATAAGCAGGAAAAAAAAATCCACAAAGAAAAGCAATAGAAGCAGAACAAGATGAGATCCAGTCAGACTGAAAATACTGAGTTAATCTCCTTTCCGGGCCTTGAGTGTCTTAAAAAGTGAACACCAACCAACACACAAGACAGTACTGCATATGATGAACTGAAGAAATCTCCTCTGATGGGATTGTGTTCGCATTTTGGTCATTCTGACAAAACTAATGAAACACAAGCTGTAGCCAGAAAGAAAATATTCTTTTTTGGGATATATTTACACACACAAAACTGAAAGCACAAGCCAAAACAAAACAAACAAACAAACAAAAAAATAACCATCCCAGCAAAAAAAAAAAAAAAAAAAAAAAAAAAAATAAAAAAATAAAAAAAAAAAAAAGATTTTTTTTTTTTTTAAAATTTTTTTAAAAAACTTTTTTTTTTG